AAATAGGCAAGTCAATTTCATTTTAAAATTTATATTTTATGACATATTTTTACTATAATATACAATTAATATAATATAAATTTATACTGTATAAAGTCTATACTGACCCTTGCGAGATTGGGCCGCCTGTGCCTTAACAAATAATTAAATAGCCATGTTTTTGTTTACAATTTGGCATTTAAATTTCCCGCCATTTTTTCTAGTACACGCCCATGCGCAGACGTTATTCCGCGGTGTTCAATAAATATGTTAATAATATTGCAGCATATCTACCCTCGTTAGCCGTAAGCAAAGGCTCGATGCAGGTATAAGGAGCCCCTGGGTTTCTGTGATCTAACTCTTGGCTATATATTCAGGGCGAGCAATCTGTATTCTAGGCTGTGCGGCAGCCATGCTAAACTAGGCAATATTAATTCTGCAATTTGCAACTTACACAATTTCTGACATAGACATGCCCAGACATGATTAGATGTATCGAGCTATGATGTCATGCTCATGCATTCAGACAATTAACATACCAAACATACTGCATGAAATTTAAAATAGGAACTACTGTACATATTACTGAACTACAGTATATTGGATGCATCATAATTCACTTAATGGTTTTAACAAAAGTTCATTCCAGATTCCAATTGAATACTTAGTTTGTGAGAGGGTAATTAGATAACTTAGATATAAACCTCGCAAGAGCTAGCAAAACTATATTATTCGATATCAGTTAATTTTATACCTGTGGTTGTGATCTTAGCAGTTTTCCGGGATGTTTTGACACTTTTTGGTTTTTCACATATCCAAGCTCGCTTTTCATTGTCTTTGCTGTCACATATTTCGTTATTCCAGACTTTTAACCGCTTTAAAATTTCAACACAGTGTTCTGTTTCAAAGAGGTTTGGTTCCCCTGTGTTCCATTTCGTGATATTAAGCTTATCTCCATTGCTCCAAGCCCAGTGCGCACTTTTACGTAGCTTTGTCCTGTTATATCTCAACCCGATCCAAAACCAGTAAGCAAAATTCTTTGTATGACTGTATACGAAATCAACTTCTTCATTGGTCGTAAGAGAAACCAAATCTGCGCCTTTCTTTAAGCAATATGCTCGAGCCATATTCCAATTCGATGGTTTTGGATCATAGTTTCCATCGGCTGGTGTGACAAATAAATAGCACGAATTGCCCCAGCCTTTCCATTTGTCAGCACACGTCTGAATTGAACTGACAACTGTGAACGAAAAGAAACAGTGTTAATTAGGAACTGACTGCATGAAGAGTTTTCAGTCCAGGCTAAATTTCAACCCGGTTAATTTAATGGAGTTGAGGTTGTTTTACGATTCATGGAGAATTGGAGCTCGGGCAGAGTTAAAATTATATCAACTCGAATCGATTTAAAACAAATTTTATTACTTCTGCAGCCTGTGGTTACACTTAGAAATTGAACCGACAAATATAATCATAAAGCCGTTTTAAATATATTGTTTTTTGTGCAACTTTATAGTAAAACGCATTTTACTATAGAAGTTTGTTGTTAGAGCGGGCTGAAGCGAAACTTCATGGCTGACGCTCAGTTCCAGTATAGTTGGGTTTCAGTTAGGTTTTAACTGGATTTTAGGATATATACTGGGAACATGCAGAAGTGACATGGTCAACTTTAAAACTGAAGCGTAATGGAGTACCTGACGCCGACTTGCTAAGTATATATGCCTCTCTTATTCGTTCCATTTTAGACTATGCATGCATGGGCGCGCGGCTATAGCGCTTGTAACTGGATGGCCAAGGCCCGAAGACAACCCTCAGCGTTTGCGTTTAAAACTTTTCAACGATCCTAAAACTCAACCAAGTTCCAAACTCATCTCGAGCGGGATCTTATATTACCTTATACGAGATATGAAATGCACAGACGAACGGTGCGTATAGTGGCAATAATTTAACCGGCAGTTCTCAGAACAGATAGATTTAAGCATAGTTTCTTTACAGGTTCGTTAAATAACAATAATTATATAATACTATTAAATATTATATACTATCTTATTTAGCTACATCTCATTAATGTGAGGCACCTTTGGTGCGAGTTTATATATCTTTTGATACATTGATAATGATAATAATGATAATTTCGCGGGATTGAGATTTTTGAATTTTTTGAATGAAATTTTGAGGGCTTGTTTTTTCAACTTTCCCGGATTAATATTTGATTCCACCCTTCCGGATTATTTGGACTTTTCCGCCGATATATCGTTTTAACTTTTACGGACTTGTACCTCGCCGGTTGTATCTAGCTAGGAATTATATTGAAACTCGCATATGGAGAAGGTAGCCCATGCGATTGTTAAGTAGTGTTTTCTATGTATGTGTCTATAAAATATATATAAATATATATATATATATATATATATATATATATATATATATATATATATATATATATATATATATATATATATATATATATATAGAATATATATAGCATATATATATATAGCATATATATATATATATATATATATATATATATAGCATATATATAGAGAGCATATATATAGAGAGCATATATATATATA